GGGGTCCTTTCCAGTCCCACTTCTCCATGATTTTTATGAGAAGCCTCCTCCATAGGGGGAGCATGGTGGTAGCCAGGGATGGGTGACATGGGCAGAATGGGGTAGCTCTTTGGTTCAATCCACTTGGGTGGCTTTGGCTCAGGAAGGAAGTGTAAGTGGGATTGTTAGCATCAATTTAACAATGCGGGGGGGGGGGGGGGGGCGGTGGAATCAGCTGGTTGTGATAATGTACTGACTGCTGTCAGGTGGTAGGGTGGCAGTGGACTCTAACTGAACTGCTGCAATGTGGCACTGTCCCAGATGGCCTCTGATGCTGAAAGAAAGGAATGAGATGTCTCCTTACCAACCCCCTGGACCATGAACCTTCCTCCTCCAGGGCAGGGGTTGAACAGAATTAAGTTTAGGCCTTAATGCAGTGGTGGGCAAAGCATGGCCCATAAGTCGGATCCAGTCTTCCAAAGGATTTTGTTTGGCCTGTAGTGGGTCCCTCGGTCCCACCAAGCCCAGATACCAGGGGCAGCCCGAGCCATGACACCCCTGGGTCCTGCCACCCCTGGGCACACAGTGGGGCTGGGGTGGTACAGAGGCTGGACTTGCTTCTCAGCAACCCCTGCAGCTGTGACTCCTTCCAGCTGCTGCTGCCAGTCTCTGTCACCACCAAACTCAGCCTTGCTGCCCTGGCCCGGCTGCCCCACACTCACTGCTAGGAGCACTGGATGGAGTAGGTACGTGGGGTCTCCATGGAGACCAATCGGGACCCACATGGGCAGGACGTACTCAACTGGGCAGATGGGATGTGGCAGTGGGCAGGCAGGGAGCAGCATCCAAAAACAGGACAGGTGGGTGAGGCCGGGTCCAGGGCAGGGGTCCAGACGCTGCCTACACATCCTTGCAATGGGTGCCAGTTCTGCAGGCAGGGGCATGCAAGGAGCAGATCATGGCTCTGCCCTGGGTCCGGCCCCCGGGTCCATGCTGTCAGCTCTGTGATCCTGATCCCAGCCTTGGCCCTGATCCTACCCACCCATCCTACTCTCAGTTTCCACTTCCTGCCCATCCATGACCCCATCCCATCTGTGCAGCCAGGTGTGGGGCAGAGACACTTAGGGAGTCTTGGTGAGCTGTTGTAGGCAGGGAGGGGAGCAAGAAGGGGAATGTTGACCCGGGCCATGACAGTTCACCAAAACACCCTAAGTGGCCCTCTGGCCCAAATAATTGCCTACTGCTGCTTTACTGGATGTCACCGCTGGCTAATGGATTGAGGATGGGGCTCAGTGAATTTCGTAGGCAGGAAGGACATTTTGGCTAATACAAAGCGACAAAAAATCACAAGTCAGCTTGCCCTTTGAATCATGAGATTGGCTCTGTTCATTTGCCTGCTGGTTTTTAAGCTTTTAGGATGTCAGGATTTCTCCACAGCCAGGAGGGCTGGACATTTCTCTTTTTCAAAATGAGAACTGAGATTTGCCTGAAATCATGAGACTTGGAGCTAGGGCTTTGAGAGAGACCCCTGGATCACAGTATTTGAATTAAATTGTAACTGTGCAGAATGCATCATTGGGGCTGATCCCTATATTGGCGAGAGGAGCAGTCAAGAGCTGGTGGAGCATGGAGAGCATCCCTTTCCCAGCCCCTGGAGGAGGCACCCTCCATAGTGGTGGAGAGGGGCAGTCTGTGGGAAGGACTGCCTGTGTGGGGCTGCCTTTGTCTGCATTTGCTCTGTAGTCTCTGGAGTTGTCAGGTCCAGCACCCTTTGTACCAGCATGATGAGCATTTAAAAAGGTAAGCATTGTTACGTTGCTGCTGTAGGTTCTGATAGCCAGAGCACAGACCTAGGAATCCAGGCTTCTGGATTTTGTTCCCAGCTCTGGGATGGTAGTATTGCCCCGAAGCTACAGTGCGCGCGCGTGTGTGTGTGTGTGTGCGCGCGCGCGAGGGGGGAGATGGGGGTCAGGACTCCTGGGTTCTGAGCATGGTTCTGTGAAGGCAGTGTGTCTAGTGGCTAGAGCAGAGGCAGGGCTCTTGAGTTCCCATGCCAGCCAGCCCAGGGGAAAGCTCATATATACATCCCAGGTTCTTTGGAGCTGTCCTGCAGCAGTGGGTCCCAATAGTGAACCTCTTGGGATTTCCCTGGATCCCTCCTCTTGGTTAAATGGGCAGCTCTGGTATCTCTATGGGCTCTTGCCCTGTGCTAAATGCAGAAGGTGAATCAGGAGCTCCATGATCCTTGAACAGCTGCTCAAGAAGGGGGGCCCTTCCCCCAGCTATCACTTTGGGCCAGTTCCTTCTGTAGGAGGAGACTGCATGACTCTGAGGGTGAGGAGCCCTCCGGCACAGATTAGATGACAGGGAGGCCTGAAATGTTGCTGCCACAGCAAAACAAACATCCTTGATCAAAAGCTATTTGCAAATGAATGACACATGGGGCTCCCTTTGATTTGAGCATGTTGGCCTTCCCCAGCAAACCCAAGCTTTCTTGTGGCATTTGAAAGAGAGAGTAGGGGGAGGGCAGGACCGGATGGGTGCCCAAGCACTGGGGGAAGCCAGCTGGGCTTGTGTCCTGCGGACTGGGAGCCATCCAGCTAGGGCAGATCCAGCCCAGCTGCCTGTGCTTGTCATTGCAGGGCACAGAGCAGTGTACTGAGAAGACAGTACCTCTATGGCAAGGCTTTCCCCTAAAAGGCTCATGGTGCTATGCACAGAAAGGGCATTTAGCACCTCAGGCTTGATCATCTACAGATCTACTAGGCAGGAGTGCCCAAAGGAGGGGCAAAAACCTGAAGTGAGAAGTGAACCCAGACAACAGACCTGGTGGAATGAAGCCTTTCCTAGTTCAGCAGCAAACAGTTATCCTACCTGCCCCGCTACAAATGGCCCTTTAACCTGGCCCCTTGCAATGGTCATAACATCGTTCAGCCCCTGGTCAAGTCCAACGAGACAAGTCTTTGTTTCAGTGGCTTCCTGTGGCAGAGAGTTTCCCAGTGCATGGTCCATGTATGCTGTGCAGGGAGGCTGCATGCTATCGGGCGTTGCATGGCTGTGGTGGAGACTCCTGGAGTGGGTGTGGGCACAGCGCAGAGATGCTGATGTGAGCTTTGAAGTGCCCCGGTGTGGCTGTGCAAAAGCAGCGGTGTGTGAATGAGCAGAGAAGCAGGCTGTAATACACTGCTGTCTTACGTTGGAGGATGTGCAGTGGAGGGGATGATGCATGGAGGGGCAGTGAGATGCTGAGGATTGTGCACACATATAACAGTGCTGTTGTTTCCAGCCCTATGGCAATCTCTGGCTAGTGCCCTGTGCTTCCCATGAGTGTTCGTTCATAAAATCTTCCATCCTGTTCCACAGGGTTGTTTTTTTGTTTTTTTTTTAGCTGAACAAAAGTTCAGTGACGCCCTTCCAAGAAACACAGTTCAGGGACAGCAGGAAGGAAACAACACTTCTTATCTAGCCCTCTGCCCCTACAGGAAACCATCTATCTGTCCCAGCCCCCTGGCCTGTTCAGAGACTGCCTTCAGCTCCCTGCTTGGGAAGGGAATTTGATTGTGACCTGAGGTCCCGGAGATAGGGCAACAAAAGGGAGAGAAGGGCCAAACCGATGTAGCTGCTGCCCTTTTCCCAGGCTGCGTGTGATGGGAGAGAACCAGTGGGACTGGTGGGTGAGGCCAGTCTGGAGGTTCCCTACCTGTCCTGTGTCAGGATCTGAGTAAGGGTCCCCTCTGGACCCCCAGTTGATCTGCTGATCGGGATCAGAAAAGAGCATGTGCTAATCAGGCGAGGGCATGTGCTGTCTGTGCCTTTGATCCACTGCAAGTTGTAGGCCATTCTTGATGTCCATGGGTTTGTTCTGTGGTCTGTGAGTTACTGATGGGGCCCATGTCACCCTCATGGATGCCCCCTGCCCTCTTCGAAGGCCCGTGGTGCAATGACCCCTCTTTCTGGTCTGAGTTTGCTGCCTCCTATGCACACACATGCAGCCCTATTGTAGTGGGGTGCTGAAGCCCCATGAGAGTCAGGGAAGAGGGAGATACAGGAGGATGTAAATAAAAGTCAGGTCAGTTTTACCTTGAGGGGTTTAGGGGAGAAGTCAAAAGGCAACTGCTTGTTCCTGCTGCTCCTTTACTATCTAAGTTCTCCTTGGCTGGGCAGCTGTTAACAAGGGTGTGGGGAGAAGAGGCCTAAAGAGGTGTGGTAGGTGCCTACCAGCTGTGGGCTGTAGGTTGTAGCTGTGTTGGTTTAAGGACATAGGCAGGCAAGGCTCTTTGAGTAAATCTGGTATCTTTTATTAGACCAACTCAAATAAGTGAAAAAATTCTTCTTGGCAAGCTTTTGGATTTAAATACCCTACATCAGGCTGAGGAAGCATCTGCAGTTGGTGTGCGCTCTTCCTAGATGGAATAAATCGTAAAGAAGCCAGAAGCTGGTATGCATGCAAGAAAGGCAGTCAGTGAAGATACCAAATCCCACATCAACAACCTGGATTTGTGCCATGCAGTCCAGACCCAAAGGGAAGGGGGAACACTCTTGTGATGGCGGCAACTCCCCCACCCTGTTCAACACAGATGCTGGGGCATTGCCAGATGCCTCTCCTTTAGGATGGACCCAGCACTAGGCCCCTGGGTTGCCTTTGCAAAGCCCCTGTAGATGTGGACAGCCTGGGGTGAGTGTCTGTTCCTGGAGGCTCTGATATTTCTCTTCCCCCCAGGTTTTTTATTGCCACTGAAACTTCCTAATGCACCAATACCTGGAAAGATTTTCTGGGCCCCAGGGAGGAGGGCGAATACAGCCTCTGCCCCACTGAGGCTTAGCTTGCTTCATGAAGGCAATGCCAGAGCTGACAGGCCTAGAGAGCTCCTGAGACAGGACCAGAGGCTTGGGATTCAAGCCTTTCTCTAGAGGTAGAATCCCTTGGACTGTCTCCCAGAGAAAGAAAATTCTATCACAGTGGGTAGCACTGGATACAACAGGGACCAAGTTGCCGTGTGGCTAACACTTTCCCTTTGCAGAGACCATCAGCTATGCAGACCCTCAGGAAGCCAGCCGACCCAGCATCCCCCTCCGCAGAAACTCCCACCGGCCAGCAACTTACTCAGGTGGGTTTCAAGGAAAGGACTTGCTTCTCTGATTACCTGCAGCTTGTGCTACTTGAAAAATCATAGGCAGACAAGGTTCTTTGGCTAAATGTGATATCTTTTATTAGACCAACTAAACAGCTGGAAAAATGTTCTTTGCAAGCTTTCAGACATAAACACTCTTTTGTGCCTGAACACTTGTAAAGAACAATTTTCCCAACTATTTAATTGGTCTAACAAAAGATACCACATTTACCCAAAGAACCTTGTCTGCCTATGTCCTTAGATGAACACAGCTATAACAAGCACCCTTGAAAAATCATGATGATGGTTTTCTCTCTCTCCTGCCCTGATTTTATGTATTTCAGGGAAAACCAAAATGGAAGGGACAGAGAGAGAGGGAGAGAGAGGGGTTTTGAAAACTAGACTGTTTTGATAGGGCTCTAGTGCTTTGTGACATATTTCTTCTCCCCAATTGGACAAAGGTCATTTTAGAATCAGGTGTCTGATCCAGTCTGGAATTTTAGTATTTGTATTCTGCAGTTGTTACTCAGTACAGATAATCCTGCTGGAAAGTGACAGCACTTCTGCTTCTAGGCTCCTCCCCACCAGAAAAAAAGAGAAAATTAATACATTTCTCTCTTATTTTATAAAGAGCCAAAAAACCCAGCCCCAAGCAGAGTTCGCTCCTCTTACTGGAGGAATAGTTGGAACCTCCATGAAGTTTACTCAGGGCCAGGACTTGCTGCTGATCCACTGTAATTATTTTGTGCATCTGCTCTAGCCTACAGGAAGTGGAAGCCAAACTACTGTAATTTAGCAGCTGTTTCTTTGCAGGGTAAGTGTCCCAGTTTAGGGTCCACTTATACTGGGATAGGAAAAGACACATGAAACAGTTACAGCAGATCAGCTGATCTGCTCACAAGCAGTAAGCTCCTGCTCCCCTTTTAAATCTGTCACTGTTTGATCTGTCTACAGATTGAGATAGATGGAGGAGTAGGCATGGCAGTATGAAGATGGATGGACGGATATGGTTTTTCTGTTCACAAAGAGCAATCAGATCCTTTTGACCAGAATGACATTTAGTAATTGATTTCTCCCCTAAGAGCTGGATGTGAGCAAAAACACAAAGTGGTTGCCTGTGCATGTGTATGTGTGTGTGTGTGTAAGGGAACTTGTCTCCACATAGAGGTGTAGTCCATGGAATATTCGGAGCAAGGGAACACAAGAAGGGCAGCAAATTTGTGCAGAAGTGTCAGCTGATTTTTTGCAGTGTCCTTCCTGCTCCAGCCATAGACTGAGGTCCCACCCTAGGGTGGAAACCTGGCCTCACTTGAGTCAGTGGGTGCAAACAGCTCACAGCTCTTTACAGAAAGTAGTACTATGAGTTGCAACAATCCCCCAGACCCAACAGAAATTCACTGTTGGCTCCTGGAGTTGGGGATCCCAGCTGCTTGCTGCAAGCTTGCAGCCTGGTCTCTGTAGCAATGCCATTCCCCACTCCCAGCTCTAAGGCTGTTTTCAGAATGGGAGGGGAGAAAGGGAGCAGAGGGAACTTCTTGTTCTCCAATCACCCGTCCCACCCTCCAGTGCCAGCTGAAAAAACCCCAGACCAAACTCCCTCCACTTCCTTTCCCTCCTCCCATTCTGAAAACAGTGACAGGCTGGGGGCTCTGCAGACACAAGTTATAGAATGCACCTTGTTTTGAAGCCTGTTCTTCTGAGTTTTCACAGGATCAGGCGTTTTTAAAGAAGTCTGTAGCTGTGCACTTCTGTTTGATTATGGCTGTAGACTGTTTCCGGGGCCAAATCACGTAAACATTGTCACTTCAGTCTGTGCCCATAGATGCTTTTCCATTCACTTCCCCGAAGCCACATTACTGATACTTGCCTGCTCCCAGGTCTTCTTATGTGTTCCCTTTCTCAGGGCTTTGTCCCACACTGGGAATCTTGGCAGGGAATGATGGCTGTGAGTCCAATACTTTTCCTGGTGTTGTGTGGGCAGCAGAAAGGAAGGGCTTGCCAGGGCTGCTCCAGCCAAGGGGTTAGATTGGATAGCTGGTGCCAGGAGATAAGCCCTGTGCTGTGGGAATCAACCTTGTTTGGGCAGTGTAGCGACTTGCCACAGACTGCCAAGGATATGTAGGACTGAGTTCTCACTTGACCTAAAGCCTGCTCTGCTCTGGAAGTGCTCAGGAGACCTAGCTGGGAGCATGTGACCTTATGCTTCAGGACCGCAAGAGAAGGATGAGAGGCGACCTTGTGGCTGCCTATAAGTTCATCACGGGGGCACAGAAGGGAATTGGTGAGTATTTATTCACCAAGGCGCCCCGGGGGGTTACAAGAAATAATGGCCACAAGCTAGCAGAGAGCAGATTTAGACTGGACATTAGGAAGAACTTCTTCACAGTTCGAGTGGCCAAGGTCTGGAACGGGCTCCCAAGGGAGGTGGTGCTCTCCCCTACCCTGGGGGTCTTCAAGAGGAGGTTAGATGAGTATCTAGCTGGGGTCATCTAGACCCAGCGCTCTTTCCTGCTTATGCAGGGGGTCGGACTCGATGATCTATTGAGGTCCCTTCCGACCCTAACATCTATGAATCTATGACTTCAGTGCAGTCAAAGATCAGGCCCTCTTTCTCAGCTCCCACAGCCAAGTGGATTGTAACAGGGGTCTCCCCTTGCAGAACATGAAGTGGAAGTATGTATTGCTGTCTTCCCAGGCACGCTGCCAGGACACCCTCTTGGCAGAAGGCAAAGGAAGGTGGTGGCATCTCTGCCTTCTAAGTATGTCACTGCTTGGGAAAGTCTGGTGTGGAATGATGACTCCAAGGCCAAGGGCTGCTGTGGGCAAGGGTTGTGGGAAAGAGAAATGTAACTGGACAGGGCAGAAATTCTTGTTACTTCTGGCTTCACTCTGGGTTTGACCTGGCTCTGTTCAACTGGCCTTGTCTGCCTCCGAACTGGGCTGAGGTGCCTTGCTTCGCACACACATCCAGCATTTACCCAGCATCCACCAAGGCCTTCTCAGACCTTGGGCTTTACTTAGCCCATATCCCAGAAGCAGAGCAAGCAAGGAAGAGTGGTGGAGCCTGGAGATGAGGATAGGGGCAGGGGATGTACTCACCATGGCAGAGGGTAAATTAAAACAGGTGCTCAGTGAGCAGCCACATCCTTCCAGTCTGATTGAAAATT